GCTTACATCTCCCAGGTCACAGTTCATCAAGGAGCCCAAAGTAGGAACTCAGAGCAGGAACCTGGAGGCAGGAGCAGCACAGGCCATGGAGGAATGCTGCTTACTGGCTTGCTCCCTGGCCCCTGCTCAGCCTGCTTTCTTATGCAACATAGGCCCACCTGCCCAGGGGTGGCACCACCCAGAGTGGGCTGGGCCCTTCCACATCACTCAACAATCAAGAAGATTCCCCACAGACATGGCCACAGGCCAGTCCTATGGAGGAAATTCCTCAATTGACGTTCCCTCAACCCAGGTGTGTCAAGTTGACACTAAAGCTATCCAGCACATAGTCACACCTGTTTGCCTGCTTCTGCTGTGATGACAGCTTTATAATACCATAGAAGGGTGGATTGGTTAGGGTCAACCATATGACTTGAAAACTCTAAGATATTTACTACTTGGCCTTTTCTAGAAAAAAATCAGAACCAATTCTAGACTTAAGAGTATAATAGAAAAAAATCATAATGAGATTAAATTTTAAGATATAAAATGTTGGCGTCTGTTGCCTTGTGAATAATACACACACACAGATATGTTAACACAAATGGAAATATCAATCTTATTCAGGTCAAAACTGTACTATTTTCTCAATTGTAACTGTACCTGACTAGGCAAAAAAATCAGTGGCTTTGTGGAATTTACAATAGAGTAGTATATGCTTTATTATTATTTGCAACTGATGTACTATTTATATTAGCATAATGTATAATTGCCACCCTATCCCTAAACAGATTTTTTTTTAATTAGATTAGTTGTTGACGAGCTCATACACGTAGATAATGTCTATTGGTCATATTTCCCCACCTCACTACCTTCTTAGCCTTTTCCCCATTCCTCTGTCCTTCTACTTCTGTCTTTTTGGTTTTTGTGACTCACTGAGTTTAATTAGGTTGTTATTAACCTAATGGATGGATGTTATTTATCAAAGCATGGGCAACTTACCCACTGAGGAAGATGTCTGCCTCTTCTAGAGCAGCCTGGTAACTGCTGACAGCTCCTCAAAGAGGGGTGGAGCCTGACAGGCACCTCCCTCATCCTTGATGGAATGTTGATAGGTCCATTCTTGTGCAGTTAACTGCAGTTACGGTGAGTTCATAAGGGCAATATGGTCATGCCATAGTCAGAAGGCAGCTTTCCACAGCACCCCTCTCCCCCTCTCCTTCCTACATTCTTCTTATTCCTGTCTTCCATGATGTTCCCTGTAACTTTGAATGGATAGCAAAGATGTGCCCATCAGGTTTTAGCCAATCACTGGCACATCTTCAAATGTGAGCCAAGGATCCATATTTTTGAAAAGCTCCCAAGTCAGGCAGGGCTGAGAATCACTTTTGAAATGTATCCAATGTCATACCAAAAAGAAATTTTCATTCTAGGTTGCTAATTAGCTGAAACCTTTCATTGTATTTTTAGGAAGCAATGAAATCATCCCAAAGAATTCTAGAGAGGAAAAACTTTTTTCTTTGAACAATAATGACAAAATGAATAGTTTTGTACTTTAATGTTTTTATTATTCTCTTTTCAAGATATATTTTCAGAGAGAAAATTAGAGAGCAAAGAAATAGACATTTGCAACTAAAATGGCTGGACTCAGAAATGAATCAATTCAGCCAGGTTTCATGTGCTTTGATTCACTGGTAGGTTGAAGACTTTCTGGTGACTAGATTACTGTCTATATCATACCATGTATGTTGAAACACAGGGGCTGATTTAAAATTCTTGCTAAATTCAAACATGCAATCTTAACATCTGAAAATAAAGGAAGCATAAAACATGTTCAAGTTAAGTACAGTGTAAAGGATAGTATTTGTGAGGTACAGAAGTACCTGAATTTTCATTTCTTTAAATGTTTCAATAACATTTTTAAAAATTATTTATTTAATAACCACATAATTAGAAGAAGCATTTCATTACAACAGCATTAACATATTCAATAACAATATCCAGAGCTAAGATGCATCTCTTT